ATATATATATTAAATACACCTTCCTTATTATTTTTCTCTGAGCCCAAAATTAAAAATTAAAGCCCAAAAGTTGCTTTATATTGCATTACGCATTGTGCCCAAGAAAGATTGGGTTGTCCGAAGGTAAGTGTATCTTATCCTTAATTTTGGTTGGGTATTACAAAAAGTTGTAGTTGTCAGTGATAATCATTTTGAATATGCGTTTTTTGTTTTGTTAATAAAAGTTATAAGGTAGTTAGTGATAATCATTTTAAATATATACTTTTTGTTTGATTATTGCGAAGTTTTTATCTAAAGTAAAATATCTTCATAAGAAAATAGTGATAATCAAATCATATTTACTTCTTGTTTAATTATTATGAAAATCTTGTATTAATGATAATTTTTAGATTTTATTTTTGGAGTGGTTATAACAAACGCCTTGTCTAATAACTTTTTGAATGGAGAGGAAAATCAGGTTGAAGAGAGAAGAATAATATTTGTCTGGTAAAGAGAAAAAAAAATGTGAAAAAATATAGAGAAATAAGTAAGATATATGGAGATGAACTAAAAATTGTTTGATCAAAGAAAATAGAGAAATAATAGAGTAGAGGTTAATTCTTTTATAAATATTATTTTTATTAAAATAATCAATAAAAACTATTATTTTATTTATTATTTATTTTATTATAAAATTATTTTATATATTCTTTTAGAAATAAATATATTATATATTTGTCAAAGCAAGTAAGATGCAGGCCCGAGGCCACTATTCGCTTTTAAAATTTCTTACTTGTCAAATATCAAACACTTATTTTTCATTGTTTTACATTAAATTACTTTTTTTTTAAATAACAATTACTTGTCTCAAATAAAAATTTCTTCAATTTTGTGATAAAGAATATTGTAATAATATTTTTAACGTATTCTATTTTTTCATTATTAATAAATACATAAATTATTATATTGAAACAAAAAAATATAAAAAGTATAATTTTTTTTTCATTTTCATGATAAATGTATAAATTAATTACAAAATAAATAAAAATAAGAATATAATTGAAAAAAAAAGTTTAATATCATCTTAAATTTTGAAAACAATAAATAAATAAAAACAAGTTTCACGTGGAGAATTGAATAATGGAACAACTAACAAGTGGACAAATGACCCGTTATATTATATGATGTCTGAGAAGTGACGCTTGGGTTGACTCTCATCATAGCACACGCACGAGGCATTGGTGGTGCCTAAGGAGAGAAAGTGAGAACTGAGAACACTGAACACCATCATCATCATCAACAAGCTATTGAACTTTGAACAGGTACGATCTCAATTCATAACCACTCTTCTTGCATTGTTTCGGTTCACGCGCACTCAACGATGGATGCTATTGCGAGCGTGGCATCGACCGTGGCGGCACCATTGCTGCGCCAACTCACCTACGTGTTGATGTACAACGCGAACCTGAAGGAGCTCGAAGTCCAGGTGCAGAAGCTGCAGCGCGAGGAGAAGGAAGTGAAACACACCGTCGAAGCCGCCAAGAGGAGCGGCGAAGAGATCGAGGACACCGTGCTCGACTGGTTCGGCAGAGTGCGCGCCGCCGTGGAGGAGGCGCAGGCGTTCCTCCGCGAGGAGGACCGGGAGAGAGTGGGATGCATGGATGTGTATTCCAGGTACACGGATAGCCAGAGAGCGAGAGATTTGGTGGAGGCTGTGAGGGAAATCAGAAGGGAGACGTTCGATAGGGTTTCGTTTCGGTGTGCGTTGAAATGCAATGTGAGTTCAACTGCTAGGGAGTATGTGGAGTTGGAGTCTAGAAATTTGGTGTTGAATGATATTGTGCGTGTGCTGGAGCATGAGAAGGTTGACTTTGTTGGGTTGTATGGGATGGCTGGGGTGGGGAAGACTGCTTTGGTGAAGGAATTGGCATGGAAAGTTGAAAAGGATGGATTGTTTGATGTGGTGGTGATGGCTACTGTGACGGAATCGCCGGATATGGAGAGGATTCGGGCGGAAATTGCGGATGGTTTGGGGTTGAAATTCGATGAGCTGACGGAGGTGGGGAGGGCGAGCCGGTTGCGGCAGAGGATTCGGCAGGAGCAGAGGATTCTTGTGATACTGGATGATGTGTGGGGGAAGCTTGACTTGATTCAGGTTGGTGTTCCTCTTGGTGAGGATCAACGAGGTTGCATATGCAAGTTGTTGGTAACGTCTAGGGATCTCAATGTGTTGAATTCTAGCTTGGGGGCGGAGAGTGTTTATAGGCTTGATGTTTTGTCTGAGGATGAGAGTTGGGGGTTGTTTGAGAAGAGGGGAGGGGATGTGGTTAGGGATTCCAGCATTCAACCTGTGGCTGCTGAGGTAGCGAAAAGCTGTGGTGGTTTGCCGCTTTTGATAGTGACGGTGGTGGAGGCGTTGAAGGACAAGGATTTGTATGCTTGGAAGGATGCACTAGAGCAGATAACGAATTTTGATCTTGCAGGGTGTTTGTATTCTCCTGTGCGTTCTGTTATTGAGATGAGTTATAATTGTTTAGAAAGTCAGGAACTCAAAACATTCTTCCTGCTTTTGGGTTCAATGGGGAATGGTTGTAGCACTAGGGATTTATTGGTGTTTGGTTGGTGCCTGGGGATGCATAAACATGTTGATACATTGGCAGATGGGAGAAATAGGCTTTACAATTTGATTGACAACTTGAGAGCTGCTAGTTTGTTACTTGATGGGCAAAGAGATTCAGTTGTGGCGCTTGATGTGGTTCGACATGTGGCTGCCTCCATTTCATCCAGGGTCAAACCTTTCTTTACTGTGCAGAGAAACAGAGAATTGAAAGAATGGCCCAGAATGGATCTATTGAGAACATGTCATCATATTTTCTTGGACTGGTGTTATATTCGTGAACTTCCTGAGATGTTAGAATGTCCCAACTTGAAGATACTCCAACTAAATACTCAAGGTAACTATTTGAAAGTCCCTGATAATTTCTTTGTTCAAATGAAAGAACTGAAGGTGCTGAGTTTAGGAGGTCTAAATTGTACTCCATCCCTTCCTGTGTCTCTTGGTCTCTTGACAAGCCTCCAAGCATTGTATCTGTGTAAATGCATGTTGGAAGACATAGCTACTGTTGGGGAAATCACTAGTTTAGAGATACTCAACCTTGAAAAATCTGAGCTTAGAGAGCTCCCAGCAGAAATAGGAAAATTAAGTAATCTACGGTTGCTAGATTTGACTGACTGCTCAACTCTAGGCGTAATTCCTTGCAATGTGATATCAAGCTTGACAAGCCTGGAAGAGCTCTACATGGGAAACTGTAATGTTCAGGGGGATGCCAAGGGAAGCAAAAGCCAAAACATTGATTCAAGTCTAAGTGAGCTAAGGCATTTGCAGCAACTAACAAATTTGAATGTGCAGATAGAAGATACTTCAGTTTTTCCTAGAGACTTGCTTGCCTTTGGAAAACTAGAAAGATACAAGATTTTGATTGGGGATGGATGGAATTGGTCAGAGGTGGAGTCTGGGAATTACAGAACTTCAAGGCTTCTTAAGCTCAATTTGGGCATGGATCCAAGCATTCTAATGGACTATGGGATAAAGATTTTGATGGCAAATGCTGAAGATTTGTATTTGGCTGAACTAAAGGGTGTCCAGGAAGTACTTTATGATTTGAATGATGAAGGGTTTTCACGATTGAAGCATCTCAATATCCTAAACTGTGATGATATGCAGAGCATTATTGGATCAACGGAGTGGGCTTATCATGATCATGCCTTTCCAAATTTGGAATCATTGATCCTTCATAATCTGGTTAACATGGAGAGAATATGCAGCGATCCAATTCCTGCACAGGCCTTTACCAAACTACAAGTTATCAAAGTAAAGGGTTGTGATAGGATGGAGTTTCTTTTCTCTCATTCCATGGTTAAACACCTCTCTGAACTTGTTGAAATTGAGATTTCTGAATGCAATTTTATGACGAATATCATTGCTAAGCAAAGACAAGAGGATGCTATTGCTGGACAAACTGATAAGATCAAGCTCATCAACTTGCGTTTCCTAACTTTAGAATGCTTACCTTCTCTTGTTAATCTCTCTCCTGAGTCAAGTATTAAGGCTACTGAAAATGGCAATGGCTTTTCCAGTCAACTTTTTAATGACAAGGTACAATTTTGACTTATTGTTCTTTATTAAACTCCAGACTTAAACATCTTGTTTATTGCAGTTTCAGTGGACCTGAAAATTTTATTTTCGTGTTTGTCTTTCTGATATGGGTACCATTAATTTTGAAGAGAGGAACAAAGACTGTAAAGGAACATGATTGAATTGATTGATAGGAAAATAAAAGTTGTCTCTCAAAACATGGTGATCATGTAACATGAGAGTTTACTTATCAACAAGAGTAACTACATCATTTGCCTTTACTGGGCATTTCTTACTAGTTAATCAGAAAAGTAATGAACGCCTTCTTTTGTTGGTGATAATCTAATTAGGATATATTGACAGGTTGAATTTCCAAACTTGGAGACCTTGAAGCTGTACTCAATCAATGTGCACAAGATATGGAATGACCAACTTTCTTACGTTCAAAATTTGACCACTTTGACCATAGATGGATGTGACCGGTTGACATTTCTTTTCTCTGATTCTGTAGCTAGAAAACTTGTCAAGCTTGAACATCTTTTAATTAGTTCATGCAAATTCGTAGAGCAGATATTTGTGTCAGATGAAAAGATGGGTAACCTTCCTCATTTTAGAAAATCTGTTCCAACTGAACTGGTGAGTCTTTCAAATTGCTTTAATTTTTTGTGTTAGTCGTTAGATTTATTGTTAGCTTTCCTTTGTAAAGCCTGAAGCATGTTGTCAACCGTATGATATAGGTTCCAATTTTCCCCAACTTGGAGACATTTGTGATTTCTGACATGGACAACTTGAAGTCAATATGGCCCAACCAACTCACTCAAAATTCGTTCTGTAAATTGAAAAAGATGGAAATCACATCCTGTAACAATATCTTGCATGTGTTCCCTTCTCATGTGCTAGACAAACTACAAAGCCTAGAATCACTGAATTTGTGGTACTGTATGGAACTGGAAGTTGTATATGAAATAGATGGTATAAACACAAGTCAAGGGAGGCTAGCCATTCCACTGAGAACTTTGTCTTTGGGTCATTTACCAAAGTTAAAGCATTTGTGGAATAAGGATCCTGAAGGAAGTATCCGATTTCAAAACCTGTTTATGGTAACAGCTACTAAATGTCAAAGTCTAAAATATGTCTTTCCACTGTCTGTGGCCAAAGACCTTCTGCATCTCCAAATCCTAGAAATAAGTGATTGTGGGGTAGAGGAAATTATTGCAAATAAGCAAGGAGGGGTAGAGGCAGCTCTTGGGCTTGTTTTCCCAAAATTAGTATCCATAAAGTTTTTTATTTTGCCAGAATTTCAATGCTTCTGTTCCGGAAATCACAACCTCAGATTTCCATGGTTGAATAAACTACATGTTGTTGAATGTCCTGCAATGGAGACTTTCTCTCAGGGAATCTTGAGGGCATCAATTCTTAGAAAAATATATTTGACAAAGGAAGGAGATCAGTGGTACTGGGAAGGTGACCTTAATACTACTGTAAGAAAGCTTTTCAATAGAGGTACGTTTTAGAATTGAAGATCTTTACTTGCAATTCCTATATTTATGGTTTTAATTTGTTATATTATACCATAAAGTTTTCAATATACTATATCATGTTTTTTTTGAATATGCAGATCTCAAATCAAGATTAAGCATTGCATAGAAATTCAAAGGCAGTCGTAGTAAGCTTGCACTTGGTGTTTAAGGTCATAATATATTCTCTGTCTAATTCCACCTGACATCTTTGGGTGATTTTCACAAAGATCAATTGGTTATTGACTACCTTCGATATGATTGGTGATGTGAAACATGAATACGCTCTTCACATTTGTTGTCTAAGATGGAAGAGAAAATGAATTTTGATGTTGATTAATTTTTTCAGCGTACTTAATGAACTATTAAGATTTAGTTATGGAAGAAGGGCCTAATCAAGAGGGTCATTCAAAAGGAAGAGAAACAGAACATTGGTTTTAATGACCTTTGAATCCAAGGGGTCATCACATAGCAATGGGTCTCATTGCTAAGCAAGGCCTAGAGAGAGAAGTATATGGAGAATATTGAACTGAATTCATTTGTGATGACAAGAACCTGGTAGTGGAAGAAGCTACAGCAATTCCAGTGCTGTCTATACACTCTATTGTAAAGAAGAGTGTAGAAGCTCCACACACTTATGTTATGATGACACCATTAATACAAGATTGCTTATAGCCAGAACTGTATAAAAAATATTAATAAAGGTTGCATGCAGTGGTTAGTTGTATTTCTACAGAGAGGCTGAGTTTCAACCTTCAAAACAGCAATTGCATAATAACTGTTACTCTTGAAATTTTTTGTTTCTAAATTCACAACTTTCTGCACTTAGTGCAATCGTAATTGCATATTAAGTGTTATTCTTGATCTGAACATATCACCTTTTGTTCTCTAATGCAATCTAAATTGATGTCAATTTACAGTAACTGTGTCATGCCTTATTCATGGATCTTAATTTAGACTATCCTTTCACAGTAGGTAATATTAAACCTCTTCATAGCTTATTGCATATCAAATATCAAAATCAAACGCATAAAGGAAATGATTCATTCTCTTTGATGAAAAGGATTGTCTTGTCAAGACTACTACAACATTGAACTACTAAATAGAAGCAAATACCGATTGAAGTCTTTTTGAACTTAGCATCGGTAGAAGTATCCTCCAAATTAGTGGCAACGAAAGAAACCTGAAGTTCCACCAGCCGTCTTTCTCGACCACCAACTTAATTCACGTATATATTTTTGACATCTGTAGATTATGTTGACTATGTAAGTCTAGTAATTAATAAGGCTTTCAATATAGACACAATAGAAAAAATGGAATTACACGAAATGTCTAGCAAAAGGCTCATATAAAGGGATGTATGAAGAGGACAATTTTTAAGAGAAAAATTTGGAAGATGATGAAAAGAATTATGATAATGATACATTGATACTATAGTAGAATTTTGCATGATATTTATGCAAGATGTAATGTCAAAGCATTGGAGCCTAAAGGTATGATGAAGCTGTTAAATTTGAAAGTTATAAAGTTGTCATGAATGGAAAGATGAACATGATTGAGAAAAGTAAACTTGACAACTTATTGATAGTTCTAGTAATAAAAAAGTGATTGTTGTTGAGTGAGTTCACAAGTCTAAACTCAAACCCAATAATTCTATAAACAAATTTAAGACCAAATTTGTAATGAAGGGTTATACTCAACATTGTGATATAGATTTTTCAAATGCTTCAGCATCAATTACAAGGCATGATACAATCATATTATTAATATTCTTGAAAGTAAAGATTGGTTGAAAATTTTATCACTTTTATATGCATCACTTTTGGTCCTCCAAGTGATTTAGATAATACTTTATTATTATTTTTAAGTGTTATCTAAACCACTTTAAGAACTAAAATTGGTATATTTTAAATTAGAGAGACTACAATAGTTCAAAAAAATTTCAAGCGACTAAAACCAAATTTCAAAAAGCTTAGGGAGACTAATAAAAGTATATTTT